TTTCTAAATGTGCTTATATATAAATTGACTTGACTTTTATGATACACCAGTTTAATGTCACTTTGCTGACATCAAACTGGTGAAATGATATAGCCCACTCTAAATGTAATGTGGCTATTTCCTCTACCTATGAAATTATGAGGGCTCAAAAAGAAATAACACAAATTAAAATGTATAAAAATCCATGTGACTTTGAGACCTTGTAATTTTTTTAGAAATGCTTAAAACACTGTATTTAAAAAAAATCAACTTAAAGGAGGAGGTAGTTGAGAATATTTTTTGTCCATATTTGGGATATTTTTTTCATGAAATGAGCCAGTGTCATGGGTGTATTTGGTGCAGCTCTTATATTCTTGTATTTGCCACATTAATGTTTAAAATTAAATAAACTGGTGGTATAAATTTGAATTACTTCTATCAGTTGTGTTAACTGCATAGATCTATCGACGCGCAGTGCAGCCCACCACTGTGGTCCAAACTGAAATATGTCAAGAACTGCTGTGTAGATTGCCATGTGCCATGTAATGTAGTCATATGAAAAAGAAAGTTTCACAGGGTCTGTGTAGCCTTGTGAAAAACTAAGTACTCCCCTACACACAGAGTAAGTGGGGAGTGCTGCTAATCACTTGATCAACTGATAGCAGCAAATCTGATCAGAGCATGCGATGCTAAGAAAAATTGCAAATAAATTAAGAGCTACATCTCAGTCCATAGAGGCCTCGCTATGCATTTCAAATGTTCATCAGAGAAAACTGAAAAAGTATGGCTTGTTTTGAAGGGCTACCAGGAGAAAGCATCTTGTCTCTAAAAAGAACATGGCAGCACATCTTAGGTCTGCAAAGCAGAATCTAAAGAAATCACAAGACGTCTGGAACAATATCCTTTAGGCAGAAAGACACACAAACACCTTGTACCAGCTGTTAGCACGGCGGTGGAGGGGTGATGATTTGGGCACCTTTCAGTCAGTGGGTCTGCACGGTGAACTCCTCTGTATGCCAAAGTATTCTAGAGTCGAATGTGAGGCCATCTGTTCAACGGCTAAAGCTTAACCCAAACTGGGTCATGCAACAGGACAGTGATCCCAACATCAGCAGCAAATCTACAACAGAATGGCTGAAAAAGAAAAGAATCAAGGCGTTGCAATGACCCAGTCAAAGATCAGACCTTAACTAGATTGAAATGCTGGGAAATGTGGGGTGGGAGTTTAAGAGAGCTGTGCATAAACTCATACCTGCAAACTCAATAAACTGAAGCAATGTTGTAAAGAAAAATGGGTGAAAAGTCCCCCACAGCCGTGTGAGAAAGTGATAGTCCTTCCTTTTCTTTTCAAGGTGTTTGAGATCAGAAACACAGAGGACCTCACAGAGGAATGGCTTAGAGAGAAACTTGGATTCTTTCGCTAAACCCATCACCTCCTCCAGGGGTCTGGGATACGAGGAGAATCCTGATTGCACAACTCGTGACATCTCTTGGAGACAACACACCACAGTTAACCTTTCCCTCCTCCCTGCATCAGACCTGATTTAAATAGTGTTTGCAGTCGTCTGTTTTAGGCCTGCTCGGTGGCGTTTAACGCTCAGTACAACTCATAAGATGCCAGAAGGTGCACACAATTACAAGAGTTTGAATGCTTCTCTGTGACTGCCAACATTTCTGGCACTTATTAAACCTCACCGATCTGGCAGCCTAAAACTGACCATACTGTTTGAAGCAGGTCTGTTATTGTCTCCATACAATCTCTCCATACTTCTCTTACGTGTCTGTTTTGAATTAACGAGGGCTGCCCCCATTAGTCAACCAAAGACTCAAGTCATGATTAATTGACACTGACACTCAGTTATTTGTGCCAGATACTATTGTTTACACAGCTACTCCCTGAGCTCTTTGGCTGATAGTTGCATATTATGAACAGGAAATCTAAAGGGTGGGATTACTTTGAGATAAAGGATAAGTGTTATTACTGTGCTATCACCTTTCTTTCTCAGCCCTCCCTCCTAAAATACACATTTAAATACTTAAATTAATATGAGAAACATATAATTGCAACTTCTACTCGACTAAGAAAGTCTTTGTTTGGGGGGGCAGCCCTAGAATTAATGTTCTCATTGCTCTTCAAGTGCAGAAATTGACCATTTCTACAATTCAAAAGAATTCGAACACTTTTTAACAACACTTTCTGTTTCTTCTAGATGTTTACACTCAGAACCTCCTAAGTTTTACCGTTTTATGTTCATTAGATTTTAATAATCTGAGAGTCTTTTTTTAATATTTAGTTATTTCTGGTGTCTCTAGGGTTAGCTAAGTATATACTTTATATTCATTTCATTTCTTTTATTGTGAAAGACAAACTTCCTGCCAGAACCTCGGAACAATCATAGCTACAATTCTGTTTTGTTTTACTCCGTCTCTCCTTTAGTCAAGGGCATTTCAGTTATAATTTACAGTAACACTAATACATCTATCTATATGATATGCGTTGCACCTTCTCCTGTGCACAAGAACACAAGCTGGCAGAAGCCCTTGAGTGGTGCTTATTTAGCTGCAGATGTAACCCTGTTAGTCTGTCATCAGTTTTTTTTTAAATCTCTGTTTAGAGGAGAGAGAAAAAAACAGTGTGAATTGTGGGTAATGCGTTCGACCTGCATGTTTATTACAAGAATCCAACACTCCAGGAAAACGATATTTTTCCACTGAAACATTCCAGATGTGAACAGTTACACACAAAAACCTCTGTCTAGCGACCATGACAGTGATGATTACACTGCATTACACAGGGCGGTAGTTCCCGCCCTCATTTTAATCTACTGGGCGACTCTGTTTAAATGGGTTACTGTGTCTTTAGGGTGATTGTTAGCTCCTATCGTGCATTATAGCTCTTACTGTTATTGGTGTTTATGAATGTCGTACTTAAATCCGTATGTAAAGCCACGTGAATTGCTTCATGGTTGTCGCAGCCTTGAGAATGACGGCTGCGATTTCTCCAAACGCCAGATGTGCCAGAATTGGCAGGTAAATGACAGCATCTGGCCGATTTACATTCTCCATGCAGACGCGGGATTTGACCGGTGTAGCTTTTTCTTTGAAAGGCTGATATTTATGTATTGAATGTGCCAGCAGCTCATTTTTGTGCCAATGTCTAATATCCTCAGCTCAGTCTGTAGTTTTTGTTTACCCAATTTTTCTTAGCTTTGAGCATTTTTAAAATACATTGTGCTGGAGCACACAGCTCAAACACTTTACAAACGGATGTATTTGGCTTTTCATGCCCCAAAGGGACAGCATTTTTTCCTGGCTTTTGGTTCCCTGCTGAATATTGTCAGTATTTAAGCCAGTGCAGCACACTACCCAAAGGATTAGTAGCAGCATGACCAGCCCCAGATAGTTAAAGCTGTATAAGAATGTACTATGCATGTATTGCAGATAATACAGACTGGTTTTATTGTGATAAAACAGGAGTAACCTCAGTAGTAAGTGACCCGAGTAGCAGACTTCTTTTTTTTTTTTTTATAATACTACAAATGTCCACTTTTACCCTGAATTATATTGCTGAATTAAAGCCCAGAAATTCTCCAGATAGTACATGATATTATATTGCAAAGGCTACCATACCAAGGCCATGCTGCAAGGCCAAAACCTGTTTTTCTCTGATGGCGTCTATGCCCTCATAAACAACAGAAACTCTCCCAGAGATCTGGCTCAAAGATGTTTTCATACAATCAAACTGCTCCACGTGCATCATTCGTAAGGGCAGGGTTTTATCCAACAGGAGCAAAGGGGACATAAGTGTAATCACTTGTTTTAATGTCTACTAATAGCAGAAAAACACAAATCCACTAGATTAAATGACCTTTATATGACCTGAAAAACCCTTCAGAAAGTCTGTAAATTCAGGAATATGCACAGCTTGAAATGAACACTGTTTATTCAATGCAATTGAAATGTGCAATGTACTGGGTTAGATGTGAATATATTTATCTTTCTAAATTCTAAAGACCTCTAAAATGTGGAGAGCTACTGTAGAAGAAGTGTATGCTTTAAAGTAAGTAAGCCTTACAGAAGGCTTTACCGATGCTTTCTGAACAGCTACACAAAGTCTCTGACATCGTTTATTTGCACATGAACGCTAGAAAAGGTTTGCATCACAGTCGTCAGGTGTGATATCTGAAGTGTGCCCAAACTGACATTAATTTCTCTAAAAGAAAGCCTCTGCTGTTGCTATTTTAAATGGGATGTATAAGAAACTGTCCATTCATCGTGTATCAAACTCAGTCTCCCTAATGTAAGGTCCAGTTAACTAAGAGCCCCCTTTGGTTATGAGCCATGTATCTGGTTATGTCCTGTGGATCTCTAACAGCTTTTTATCTTTATGTGGTGAACGCATATAGTTTTTGGCCTCTAGTGGTTTTTTTTGTTTTTTTTACTTTAACCTGCAATTGTGTTGTCAGCGCTCGGTGTCCTCTGATTAAATGCCTATTCTATTTTCTTTCCTTTTTACTAAAAAACCCCCACCTGAAACATCTGTCATAACCAGCTGCCTCGTGGCATCAGTGAAACTTGAGATATTTGTATTTTCCCATACTTTATAAAAGTGTCTTGTCCTGTTGTCCAAATAAAATGACAGTGATGTTTACCCATGTGTTTCCAGAGACTGCTGTTTTCAAACTGAAATGGTCATATGAGCTTCATCAGAGATGGTCTTGGTGTCTGAACACAGAAAAGTACCATCAGAATTTGATCCATCATGTAATACCATCTGGACAACATCTGATTGGCCCTGACTTCATTTTTAGGCACAACAATGATCATAAAAACACTACCAATGCAGTAAAAGCATACCTGGATAGAAAACCACACAATGGACACTATTCCTGAAACTGTGGGACTCCAGGAGATAAAGAAAACACCGAAGTTCAGAAAGAAATTCCAGGAGATGGCGCTAATGCATGTTAAAAGTGATTTCAGATAAGTAAATGGTCCAGTAGGTGGCGGTAACGCACCCTGCTCTAAGATGGTTGACTTGCAGCCACTAACACTCAAAGAAGAAGGGGAAGAAGCAGCAGTAATCGGTTGGGAAGCTGCCTGCATCATCTGCCGATCGAGCCAGGAACCGACCAGCAGAACCGGAGAAAAATGGCGTTCACATTCGCGGCCTTTTGCTACATGCTCGCACTGCTGCTAACGGCCGCGCTTATCTTCTTCGCTATCTGGCATGTAAGTACACATTTCTAGGTCGCCTGCCAAACGGTGCGGACGTAAAAGTAGGTGAAAGAATGAGAAAGACGGGCTAACAGTGAGCTAACGAAGCCTGGGAATGAATGGCACACACCCTGTCCGGTCGGCTAGGACAACAAGTTAGCAGTTTTAACACCAAGACGTGTTTTTAATAAACTATTTCCCATCATCCATATAGAGCTCAACACCACTTTTACATGTTTTATACCCCTTTATTTTGTTTGTATCGCTTGCCAGCTCAGAGTGCAGTGTTGGCTAGTTAGCATGCTAAGCTAACGTTTGGCTGTCATGTGTTTATCGACATGTCACATCTCTGCATTGTGTAATACCGCCAGGTTTTGCAGTCACAACCCCAACGTAAGCATGGGGAGTTTGGAGCACATTAAACTAGCTGTAAATAATTAACTAGCTGTTCAGTCATTTACTAGATTGAGGTAATCAGTGACGTGGCTTGGGATAAATAATAAATAAATAAATAGATAAATAAACTTTCCAGTTTGGATATCTTCAGTTTTCTGCTTCTGGCTGGTCATATTGGAGAACTTACCTGTTGTATTGTGAATAAATAACTTGAAGACAGAGAACATGCAATTTGCTTTTGAATGCAAACCAAATACTAATTTTCTTTGATTTTCATTCATATCACTGATTAAAAAGCTTATTTGAAGTAATACAATCATACAAGGTAATCTTACTCCTTTCTGTAAAAGACCCTCTCTAAGTATTTCAAACCATGTTTCAAACAAATCAGCCTCACAAATAAGTTAAATATGAGAATTTAGCTTATCTGATTGTATCCACACTTGAAATCAGGGTTCAGTATTTTGCCGAAGGATACCTGACAAGTATTCTATCACCTGAGCCACAGCCTACCCAATACCCGAAGATGTAGTAAATTAATTTTCTATAAAATGACCTATTTTGTTTAGATTCTGCTTCTTTTTTTTTTTAAAGATGGTGCTGCATCTTAAAGTTTTTTTGTTCCTGTTTTTTAACATGTCTCTGGTTACTGCAAGCGAAAGAATAAGGGAGCAGTTTTGGTGTGAATATTATACGTGTTATTGGGATATTTTACCACTTTAATGTAGAGCATAGGTGTCAAACTCTGGGTCGTGGGCCAAATTTGGCCCCCTGATGCAGAGGAATCATTTACTAACAAGCAAATGATCCGCTGTTTGATTTTGGGAGGAGATAGAAATCCCTTTGGGGCTGTGTCAGGAAGGACATCCAGCATAAAGACTCTGCCAAATCAAAAATGTGGAGCCACTGTCGTAGCCCCTTGTGAAAAAGGGTGCCTAAAAGTAGCTTTTATTCTATGCTAAAGTTTGTCAAATGGCCTGGCCTGTATTTATATAGCGCTTTACTAGTCCCTAAGGACCCCAAAGCGCTTTACATAACCAGTCATCCACCCATTCACACACACATTCACACACTGGTGATGGCAAGCTACATTGTAGCCACAGCTGCCCTGGGGCGCACTGACAGAGGCGCCACCGTGCCCTCTGACCACCACCAGTAGGCAACGGGTGAAGTGTCTTGCCCAAGGACACAACGACGAGACTGTCCAAGCCGGGGCTCGAACCAGCAACCTTCCGATTACAAGGCGAACTACCAACTCTTGAGCCACAATCGCCCCAGCCACAAAGCTGAGGGTATAGCAGATGAGTTTGTTTGAGCTGATTATAACTTGGGGTTTAGTCTTTTCTGAAAGCCATTAACCATGAGTGACATGCATAGTCATAGTTTGGTTGGACTAGAACAGATCATTTATCATTTGCCTTTGTTTTACTGAGATGAATTAATATTTTGTCTATAGGAGTGGAATTTTTGCAGTTACCTTATACATGATACATTTTTAGTTTCTCCTAGATGTGTTAAATGATTAGTTGAGCTAATTTCAAACAGAGTCACATTTGGCTAACAGAATTCTACCCTTGTTATGTTTGCAGTTACTGGCAAAAAGCATAACTTCAGTTTTCCTAAGAGGAAGTCAAAGCTTATTTTCCTGTAGTCAGAGGCTAACAGATTAGAATTTTAGTTAAATATTGTTAGGATTAGGGGAAAAAAGTTCACAATACAGAGCTTCAGACCTGTTATTAATGTAGATGGGGAAAAGTAATAGACCTGAAATAGATCCTTGTGGTACACCACAAGTAACATTTCCAGCTGGTGACCTTTTGTCACCTATTGATTAAATCTATTGCTTTTATATTCATCCACAGTATTAAAAGCCATTTGAAAGTCAGTAAATACCGCACCAGTATACAAGGCATTATCCATATTAAATCAAATTTTATTGTGAAGGTACATAAGAGCAGTATGGGTAGTGTAACCTGGTAAAATATTATTGCACCTGCTGTCCTCTGAGTCTCTGTTTTTAACATTTTACCATTGATCACCTTGGTCCTTCAGATAATCGCTTTCGATGAGCTGAAGACTGACTACAAGAATCCTATAGATCAATGTAACACTTTAAATCCGGTAAGTGATCTCACCTCTTCAGCTATCACACCTTCCTTGCATGCAGATATGCTCTGATGAAAGATGTTCTCTTTATTTTAGTACAACTTTATCCACCTATCTGTCTTTTTCTCTCATTTCTCTGCACTGTTATGCTAAATAACCTGCCTGTTATAACTTCAGTGATCTTGTCAGCTGTCAAACTCTAACAGCCTTTTTGTTTTTCCTTATCTGCTTTTTTTTTTTTTTAAACCACTTTTAACGACAAAAAGACAGTTGAAAAGGTCAAAAAGATTAAAAGAGTCAAAATTGCATTAAAGGTTTGTACCAATCTTTAAAATGCCCGCTCAAGTCCAACTCAGTCTGCAGTCTTGTCATTTTGCACGGGGAAGTGTTTGCAAACGTCTTTTCAGTTAACTAATCTTTAGGTCAGGGTTCAGCTCGGGATTAGACAACATGCCACCTGTGCCTCACCTGTATCCTTTTTATTTCCTCCCCCCACCTACACGGTCGTTATAGTTTTGTTTTTGGCTTTTCAATCTCTTCTTTGTATTTCTCTCCTGTACGCCTCAAAGTTCAGCTTCAGACTGATTGCACTGACTAACAGGCATGTTTTCAGCTTTCTTGAACTACCTTTTTTTGGCCGTAGAAGCAAATGGATATCTAACAGTCGGTAAGCACTATATTCTTGGACGAACAGTCCTCCTTATTGATTATGGATTAAGAATAGCTGTTAACTGAAAAGACTTGCAAATGCTCAAAACATGCATGATCTTTACTACAACCTACCCTTTGTTTGCATATAGTTACAAGTATAGAGTATTCCCAGGAAACTCTGAGAGATGGGTATCTTGTTTTCCATTTGAAACAGCAGTTCTGGCAGAGCTTGCACATAACTGTTAGGATGGTATAGAATCACAGCAGCCCGAACACTAGTCTTTTGATTTTGTAAACCCCCCCCCCCCCCTTTTTTTTTTAAATACTTTGCGTGTTTGATTTTTCCAAGACAGCTTGTTTTATTCTTCAATCATCGGTTTTCTTAAATGCATGTCACAACTTGTTTTTCTGCAAGGTGAATGCTACAATTTGAGTCAGCAATTAGCAGACCTAGGCCACTGTTTATGATCTCAGTGTTGGCTCTAACCCGCATCACCTGTGGTTCAGAACAGATGGCTGCAGAATCCAAACACTCTCCAGCTCAGCAATATTTAGAGCTCCTGATTGGTCAGTGATTCTTAGCTGAAAAGTGAAGGTTCCTCTACGTTTAAGCCTTGACATGCTCCACAGTCCGATTTGCAGTTTTGGCCTCTTGTTTTTCTCAGCTCAGTTGGCACAATAAATTTATTTATTTTTTTGTGCAGTTGTTTTGTATTTGGCAGCACAGTGCAGGATTTCAGCACATTTAAAGCCCGTCCCGTCCTTCCTGCAACTTCCTCTTTCCCACACACCCCTCACCCTTCCATCTGTGGGCTGTTGGTTGCCCCCTCCTCTCCGCCCTCTGCTCTTATTTTTAATGCATGGCTTCCATGTGGCGCCTCCATCTGCCCCCCTGAACCCCGCAACCAGCTCGAACTCTGTCAACCTGAGGCAGACTGCTGCATCGACAATGCTAAGCGTGCTCACAGCATGGTCCTTCTCTGGTGTGTTGTCCAGTGCGCTTGTCAGGAAGTGGAATGATCTGTAGGTTCACCCTCACTGCAGAAAATGTCGATGTTGGGATGCGCAGATATTCTTCAGAGCAATTTGTCCCCCTTTAATTGTGGTCACACTTGATAATGCATGACATAACCAGGGTGGGAAATTAACCATGTTCTCTATCCATTTGCAACAGTTTATTTAAAAAAAAATTATGCAAGCACCACATGTTTCTTCAGTGACTAAAAGAGGCGATTATACAAATTAATTTTCTCAATGCGTAGCCACATATGGCTTCACTGTGGCACCTTTTCTAAGCATTAAACAAGTGAAGAATGGCTTAAAATCTGCATATGGATGATTTAAATTTTTCACCCTGTTTCATGTGTTAAAATAAGGCAGTATGTGTTTTACATAATATAAGATGAAGCTGGACCTCACTAAAGGCCTGTATAGCACATGTAAAGCACAAAATTATAGCTTAACCAGAGTTCATTTGTGATTCAGTCCTTCTCTTGTATTCTTTCAGCTACTGCAATTTTTAGACGTCTGCTTCTTTAAATAGCGCCGCTTTCTCCTTGTAAAAAGGACTCATTACCTTTGAGGATTCGTTACATCACATTGTGTTGTCCTCTGATCAGTGTGCTTCAATTTCTAAGTCTCTGCATTTATTCCACACATTGAGTGGATTGATTAACTTTGTTTAGACAGTACATTACTAAGTCAGAATTAGAACAAGAGAATTGAACTATCAGCTGTATGCGAATATTGACATGTCTTCTTCCTTGGCTCCTTTAGCTGGTGCTCCCAGAGTATCTTATCCACTTCTTCTTCTGCGTGATGTTCTTCTGTGCGGCCGAGTGGCTCACCCTCTGTCTCAACTTACCACTGCTGGCTTATCATGTCTGGAGGTACGTATTCGAAAACACTGATCCTAGAGTCAACACCTGGTTTTACTTAACTAAACCTTTGTAAACAAGTCACATCTGCGTGTAACTCGCTGCTTTCATGTTTGCCTTTCTGCAGGTATATGAGCAGACCTGTGATGAGCTGTCCAGGACTTTACGACCCAACAACCATCATGAACGCTGACATCCTGGCGTACTGTCAAAAAGAAGGCTGGTGCAAACTGGCTTTCTACCTCCTGTCATTCTTCTACTATCTCTACGGGTATGTTTTTCACTTGTATTTTTCTGCTCTTTACTTTACTTTTCATTTGTATCTGCTGAGAGAAGAATCTTTGAGACTTAGACTTCATTACGGCGGCTATTGTTTGCAGTGCAAAAAATGTGTGGATATGAAGATATGTTGATCCTGGGGTAGTTTTGTCAGAGAGGCGGACACCACTTTATTTGTTCGTTGAAAGGTAGAGGCAGTCAGTAGTGACAGGAGAGCAACACAGCATGGCTCTGTCTCTGTCTAAAATCTGCCTACCAGCAGCTTTTAAAAAGGCGCTCAGTCTTCCTTTGTCAAACAACAATTTTTGGATTTATGTACCAGCCTTGATGCTTATTTAGATATTCCTCGTTCTCTCCAACAGGATGATCTACGTTCTGGTGAGCTCTTAAATGGTGCGATGAAGCAAAAGGACCTGCATGTACAGTAAACGACCAGACACTATGATCTTAGTGCTGGAGCACTGGACCTGCTGGAGACCACCTTTCAGCAACACAAGACGCCGTTTCCAAGTGGACAAACCTGTCATTTCAGAAACATTTAGCCAGTTTTAAGAGAATCCTGGTTGCAGTGTTCCTCTCATAGCACTATAGTTACAAAGCTTTTATGGAAAATATGGACAGACCTGAATGGACACATCTTTCTCTCTCTTCTTTTTTCCCTGTTTTTTTTAATAGTTTTTTTTAGTTTTTTGTTTTTTTTTTATGCTTGGGATTGAAAATAAAGTTTGCTTTTTTTCATCACGTTTCCCAACTGTTGAGTGTTTACAGACTAGGTAGACATTTTCAGGTGTGCATTTATCTGTGAGAATCTAAGCTGTGTGCTGAACTGCATTAGCTTTTTCTGTGAATAAGATCCCGGGCTTTAAAAGCCAATTTACACCTGCCACGTGACTCATTACCATGACTAAAATGAACAGCGGAGTGTAAAACAGACTTTTGTTCTTGCCCGCAGATGCAGAAGGTGTTATAACGTGACACTTTGAGGGCTGAAGTGCATGTTAACGAAACGTGTCGCACAAGGACGGTAGTAGTCTGGTTGTCGGTTATCACCTTTCAAGCTATCTGATGTATTGTTTCCATGCATCCCTGTCAAACTATTGCTGATATGTTTTCTTAAGTGTGGACCGCCATGTGTGTGATCTGTAGACCCGTCCTTGCAGGTATCTGTAAATAAAAGGTAGACTCAACAGTACTATAATGCAGCGGTTCCCACGGACTGGTTTGTGCCCGACAATATTTTCACGGACCGGCCTTTAAGGTGTCGTGGATAAATACAACAAAAAACTAGTACCGGTACGGAAAACAGATTTATTCATAACACACGTGAAAAGACCCAGGAAAACAGAGTTAACAAAAAAAAACGATAAAATAACGCTAAAAACCCTGAAAACCATACATTTCACACCAGAGTCTCAACTCTCCCGGGCCACGGACCGGTACTGGCCCGGGGGTTGGGGACCGCTGCTTTAATGTATTCACCGTTAGGAAGGAACACTATCCTCCTCTTTCCTTTCGGCATTCAAGTTTTGATCGACATCAGCTGATGTGCCATACTGTTGAATGTACCTTTGAATTTCTTTTTGTCGTTGTGCGTTTTAATTTCAACACCAAATATTCCACATTGTTAGAAGATCCAACGTTTTATTTTTCATGTTTTCAATTTGACCTTTTTTCTTGTTTTTAGTAATTCTTCGGAATATCAAGCACTCCTCGCAGTATCGCTCATCTCCAGAATCAGAATCTAGACTGATGTTTTAGGCCACTGCAAAAATTTTTTCATTCATGTTAGAGTATTTATTGTCATGTTTAACATGTAAATTTATCAGGGAAAAGGATTATCATTTGTCACATTCAAATAAAGAAGTTTTTATGTGTTAGATCACATCAAATTACATCTAGGAAATTGTTTATTTAAATCTAAATAAACTATCCTGCTCTGTTAATGTCGACTGGAGTGTTATTTCTATGCAAATGTCAACAAAAAACCTTAAGACAGCCCTCATGTCTTTATATTTTGCCTCTAAGGAGCGAGACTTGTAATTATTCAAAGTGGGAAGCGTATCTGTAACCGGAAGGTCACCAGTTTGATCCCAGTTTGGGTGCCTTGAAAAGCGCTATATAAATTCAATCCATTATTATTATTATTATTATTATTATAAGTATAAAAAGGCAGCAAGTGTTGTCCACAAACCACGCCCCCCCCAAAAAAGAATTTAGTTACTCGTACCCTGTCATCAAAACACAATGTTCCTATCTTTAGTTGAATCTATTAAAATCTATTGCACTTAAAAAGATAAGGGTGGCTGTCAAGAAGCCATTCTTAAAGAGGAGCAATAGAAAAGGCTGAGGTATGCTAAATTATACAAGAACTGGACTAATAATCCAATGCAAACGTTATTGGCATTTCACTGCTGCAAGTGGTATGACTCACAAAATGTAGATAGAAAAATATAAATTGTGGGATATTTTAATACGATGAAAAATAAAACATAACTTTGCAGCATTAGATTTTGTGCTACAAGGAAGGAACCATTACAGTTCATACAAGCCTAATTTCATCATTAGATTTAGTTCACAAAGACCCCATTTGAGTAATTTCTGGTTTCAATGAAGAAAGTAACTTAGAAATTTTAGAAATAACTGATAAGCTTCACATTTAGAGACAGACTTGATGTCTGAAAAGCTGTTGTGCAGTTTTATTCCCCTTAAATAAAAAGACCATTGGAAAGTACACACATATATTGCCCAGCTGACATAGCACTTCTAACACACACCATTATTTTATTTGCAATATAAACGAAACAACATTTTCCATCTAATAACATAAAGCAGTATCTCCTCATCAAGTCTTTAATTAATTATAATGAGGATGATAAAAAGCAATATATTACAGTGTTCATTCTAAAGTGCATATCTCAAGAATATAATCATACCACCACACAATCAGGAAAGCATCACTGGCAAACAAGCAAGCTTGAGGAACTCGAGACTTCCAGCTCTGTAGAAAGGAGCAGTAATCACCGAGACACCGAGCGCTCTGAGCGAGCTTCACTTTCACTTTGGTAGGCTGTGTACTTTTCCCGAAACTCGTGAAGGAAGTTGTATTGCTACAGAAAAGTAAAAAGATGCTGGTAAATGGAAAATTAGGGATCACACATCAGAAAGACTAAAGTTTTAATAAATCAGAGACTATATAATGCTGTGATGATACTTTCTTCATGAATTCAGAGGCTTTATTTATAATTTATGGTGTTTTGATTGACTGGCAGTTGACACAACCATCTCTGGGGTTTACAGAGAATGGACTGAAAACAAAAACAAATCAAATAACCACATCCAAGGAATGTAGAAAAGCATCTCTGACAGTGTACATCAGCAGAAGACCACACTTGTCACTTCTCTTTATGTCACTTCTCTCAGCAGGACAGGAAGTGAAACTACAATTCACACATGCTCACACATCGAGAGGACTGTAAAAATGTTGCCTGGTGTCATCAATCTCAATTTCTGCTGCAAGATTCCTGGGGTAGGGTCAGAATTTGGGGTAAACGGCATGAAAGAATGGCTCTAGTCTGCCTTGTATTAGTGGTACAGGCTCCTGGCGGTGGGATAATGGTGAACGGGACGCTTTCTTGGCACAATTTGAGTCCCTTCATACCTGAATTATTACTGACCATGTTCATCCCTATATGACCAGTGTACCCATCTTCCAATGAGTGTTTCCAGGATGACACCATGTCACAAAGTGTCTTATAAAGGTTTCTTGAACATATCATTGAGTTCACTGTATTCAAATGGCCTCCACAGTCACAAGATGTCAATCTAATCTCCAGGAACTGTGTCAATGTGGACTAAAATCTCTGAGAAGTGTTTCCAGCACCTTGTTGAATCTGATGAATGAAGAACTAAGGCAGGTATGAAGGCAAAGGGGTCCATTGCAAGTACCCAATATCAGGTACTAACAAGCTGTACCTAATAAAGTGACAGTTGGGTGTAAATTGATTATTTTACATAAGCAACATTTTTTCTTCTTTTTTTTTCCATTTATAAATTAGATCCCCAAGACTCTTCTAGCAGCAAGTTACCTGAAAATCATGAGGTTCTGGTTTTAATCACTAGTTACAGATCTTATTGCAATCTGTTTAGAGTAACAGTGACATAGCAGTGAATGATCAGATTTAGAATAAGGTGAATAGCAAACTGCTTTCATATAGGTATGTAACAGTATTTACAGTTTCTCATCAGATCCACCGCTTGCTTGCGACATCTGCCAAAGCTGAGGCTGAGGTTGGAGGCTCAGTAGCTACGTCCATTTTTTACATGCAGTTCTTCCACGTTTATGCTTTTCTTTTCTCGAGCAGATTCAATTGAGCGTTTTGATGTTAGAGTTAATTTTTAACTACAATTTTGTTGTGCCTGTACAATGACAATAAATTCTATCCATCCATTCTCTTTTCGCTTATCCTTGTCAGGGTCGCAGGGGGGCTGGAGCCTATCCCAGCTGTCTGTATAGCCCGCTTAGGGGGAGAGGCAGGATACACCCTGGACAGGTCGCCAGGCTGTCGCATGGCTAAAAAATTCTATTCTAATCTAATTTATTAATCGCACCAATTTTAGACCATCAAATGTCTCTGCAAGGTACAAACCAACAAAAACACGAGTTTATAATAAACTAACAAAAGCAGCAAAATGACCCCTTAAAAACTACAGATGAAGAGGAAGAAAAGCAGCGACTCACCCTCACTGTTTGTATTGCTCCTCCTCCTCTGTGGTGCCTGAGGATTTCGATGGCTTTGTTTGGCGTCATTGTGGAAGAGAGCTGAAGCAGCAGGCAGGCAGCGACTGCAGGGCAAACAACAGCCATGTGATGGGAGCAGTGACATTAAATTAGGTTACATGACATTTCTGATGTTGGACAGAGAATGTTCGATAGAAAACTTCAAAATAAAAGAATAATAATCTTACTTAATGCTGAGCGTCCAAGGCCCCCGTAGCAGCTGAGGAGATAGGGAAAAGGAAAATGACAAAATCCAATGAAATTGACAGCTAAAGAAAAAAAAAAAAAACTGTTGTATTGTATAATGAAAGGTGTCCCGAGGAGCTAAAAATAGATGTATTTGTGGTGATATGATGCCATTTGGCACTTCAAAGTTTTATGATACCAAGGTGTCCTTTATTGGACAGGGAATACTGTGGTAGCGATACCTCTCAGCATTAAAATTAAAACCCACTCGTATCATACAAGTTCAGGACAACCAGTTTCCTCCTGTTGCCTAGCGAGCAGCTTTATAAGCTCTCTGGGAGAGTGGAGAGCTTCTCAGGGGCCTTTTAGTAACAACAGTAAAAGCTCTGCTCACTTCAGATCTCCTGGTTTTATAGAGCGACACAAAAACCTCTCTTTACTATCCAATCTGATCTGCTTTTGTAGGTAACTCTGTTTAACCATGGTCATGTGTAAAAAAAAAAGAAAAAAAAAAGCTTAATCAGAATAAAAATTCATTTTTTTGCTATAAAACTGATTTGTATGGGATCAAAGAACCACCCAGCAGTTCAGCTGATATCCATCCACTCATTCTGGAATTCTAAATCATTTACCGCCGTATGTAAACAACCTTCACTACTTCAAATATGATTACTGGAGGCTTATACTTTCTACTACTACTTGAGCCCTAAGTCTTTCAGGTAATTATTTAAGAGTTCTTGAACAAGAATCTCAAGGCTTTCTGGAGATCTCAAGTTTTTTTGGACACTGGCTTCTTTTTCACTCGTTTTGAATCCAGTCCTTGTACCTGAACATTTTCAGAAGGTTTTCTTTCATCATATCTACAGAAAATGCCAAATATAACATAATTGCACCAACAAGGTGAGTCCGAAACAGCTATTAAACGTTACACAAGGCAATGATCCAAAATACACATCCATAGCAAGAAAAGTATTCTTTGATAGAAAAGCACACAGTGGAACACCATCGGTCATGGATTGGCCTCCACAGAGCCTGGAGCTCAACATTTTTAAAGCAGGGTGGGATCATCTTGACACAATGGAACCAAAGGCAGCCAACATCGAAAGAAGAGCTTTGAATGTTGTACAAGAAGCCTGGAGAACTCTTCATGAAACTACAAACAAGACATTTTCCTCAAGTTAGCTCAGGATGTGTTGAAGAACGAAGGTGTTCACGCCAAATACTGACTTTCGAGCTTGTTCAAATTGTACAAACTCTGTTTTCTTCCTCTTCTGTTGTGTTTACATGTTTCACATTTTAATACATCCCCCATTTTACTAGCAAAAGATTTTAAAAAAAATCTTAAGATTTTTGCACAGTACTACATGCTAATTCTCCTCTCTGCTTTGTCTGTATTAATTAGCAGGTAGATATCACGCACTGTGTGGAACATTAAACTGAACTCAGTTTTGACTTACTGGATCACCGTCCTCCTGTCATTCTTGAGGCTGATCTGCAGCTCATCAAGGATCTGGCAGCACTGGTTCAGCTCAGGTGCGTCTCCATCTAGAAAAGGCATGTGGTGAACCCTGAAGCCCCGCTGCTGGTAGACCTCCAGTAGTGAGGGAACCCTGTATTTGCTAAGCTCTCCTCTTGTGCAGAAAACAAACACATCCTGCACCCCCTGGTTCTGGAGCTCCTCTGTAAACAAGAAGAGAAGTTTCTCTTGTAAAACGGGAAAACCCCAGGTTATCCACATTTTTTCCACCACTTCAGGCTAATTTCTGCATAAACATACTATTTATAAAATACTGTGAAAAAATGAAATCATAAATCAGATAGCTAAGCGAATAAAATGTTTTGCATAAAGTTAAAAAAGCATCCACTATCAAGTTTGTGCTTGACTTCTGGTGAGTTCAGTTCTAGTATTTTATAAATTTTTTAATGTGCGCTAATTAGAAGGTATCTGTACAGTTAATTACTGTAGGCTGTATAAGATGACAACACTCACTGACTGACTTTGACTCAAAAAGAACATACTCAACATGCTCTAAATTGACAGATTTTTGCACAGACAGGGTTGCATTCAATACTATTGTACATGTGCAATGACAACAAGGATTGTTAATTATTATTACAAAGTCAAGGTTTTCTACATCTTACAGTAAAGACTATTTTTCAACATTTAAAATATATGTTGAAATCTTGCTTCTTAATTAAGTGGTTAGATTCAAACATCTGCTTGTGAATGCTAATTACATCTGGTAAAATCAGGATCAGCACCAACTTACCAATATCTCTTTGCAGACATCTGCGGATTTCTTTGTATTTGCAACCTTTAGTCAACAAAAACAAAACAAAAAAAGAGCAAAAACAAAAACAAAAGTCAGAAAAAAACCAAAATTCAATATACGATGCAGTAAATACAGTAGACAAATTGTTTCACCTGGTAGTGCACATATTCCAAGAAACTGCGGGCACCCTACTATGGATAGCGGCAACCTTAAAACCAATGAAAACCAATATTAGCAGGGTGATATTTGTTTGTGTCCATGTCAGCAAGAACACGTAGACATCCACACAGCTTTTAAATTGATCAAAACTTACCAGGAGATGTGCAGTGGAGTCAGCTCCTCTTCTCCGACCTCATCTTCAGATGAAGAGTCAAACTCGCTTGTCCTCATTTTTTCAGCCCCCCCCTAAACAGCTGAGAAGCGACACACTAAAGTTTACTTACGTTTGGCAACTGACACTTTACCGGTCCTGATAATATTCAACAATATATCATGAATGATACCGTCTTGAATAATCGCCACATAAATTCACATCACTGTAATGTCAGACATGCAGAGATTACTAAAAATTTCCATTGCAATACCAAAATGTAATATATTTACTGCCATAACAAGCTTGCTGTAGTAGGTTTTTTTGTTTTCAAAGAGGCTAGGCTCCCTGCTTTTAGTTGAAGAGTTTTCCAGTGTCACAATGGATTTTATTTTTAGGTGGTGACTAACTGTGTTGAGCATTATCAAAACCCACAGTAAAGGTAATAAATGTGTGTAATCATTTAGCAGAACTCTATGCATGATCATGTTTTTTCTGACCATTTTATTAACAAAAACTATATCTCCACGTCAAGTCATACTGCCAATGATGATGTAAAGTAAATGATATTCAAACACAATGCAACTGCCCTGATATTAGGCCTGCCATTATTAAGGCATTTAAGAGGTTTATGTAGAAGTCAGGTTAATGTGTGGATATAATTTCCTTAGGGATTAATAAAGTATTCTTATTCTGATATATGATTCTCTAAGGAGGCTTCAAACCAATCCTTCAGCCTCAAGGTAAACAAAATATCTACACACTTGATTCTCCAATATTTTGCAGGTATAAAATTTCCGATAAATATAAAGTTTGATTTATTATGAACATTATTATCAGAACTGACGGTTTATTTCACATCGAACCCAGCTAACGCTAGCTGTGCAGCTCATATCAGAACACGATAACAACAAGACCAAAATTAAATAAAACCACCATCTTACTGTAGCCCAAAATAAACAGAAAGCTCCGTAGCTTTAAGGAAATACATGTCTGTGAGTTCAGAATTCAGAATATCGGAGTAGTGTCGTGATTTCTCACCAGTCACGCGATCTTCCTCGCGACTGTTTTGACAGCCCTGTAAGTCTGTCGGCAGCTGCAACAATTTAAAAACTCCATGAAGCATGCAGCCAATCAGATTCGAGCAATGACCCTTGGCCACACCCCAGGGCAAAACAAAACAGGGGCTTGTGCGTTCGATTTAACCAGAGGAGTCATCGAGGCGGGCGGAATAAACATACGACTAGAAATTACACAAAATCGGATATTCTTAGAATTAAACAGACTGGGTCTTACAGGGTGGGGTGTACAGTATATACACATATAATATTCCCATACTAATGTTCATATTTCAGTTAAGCGTATTTTCGTAATGTATTGTACACACAATGGGGTAGGTAAAAGAAATTGTGGCCATTTTCTGCATTGTGAATTCTTGTGCGCCAATTTCTGCATCAATTTAACGAGGAAATGTTGTTATTTACTTACAGTAAAACACACACAACAGGCACCAGGTGGCAGCCAGGTGCGCGAAACACATTTTCGTGCTCTTTGCTATGTCAAACTTTATTGTCCCTTTTAAATGAACAAACAGATAAAAATTTGTAATTTTTCCATTTACATATTGAAAACCCTTGGACGTATATTTAAGTGTCATGCCAATAAAATATAGGCATTACAACAATTTAAATATGTTTTATAAATTGAAAAACAGAGCACATTTGCACAACAGCACCAAACGGGCAATCCACTATGAAGCAACACTTGCTTCATAGTTCACTGAGCGTCACGCAGGACATCTGCTGTCTGCACAGAGCAGCACACAGAGCCTCACGACCCTTCACGCTGCAAACCAGTTCTGAGGTTAGAACAGCAGAAAAGCGGAGACCTGGAGGTTTTTAGGATTTACTGGACCTCTTTCGGATGTCTGAAGAAACACTGTTGAGGAGCTCTGACTAAGGTGAGCTGCTTTAGCCTTCTTTTACATTGTTTGCTTCAATAATCAGCTTTTCTCTCATGTATTGTGAGTGGTTTGATTGATGTTTGGACATCCCTAACATGTATATGTGTTCATAATTTTTTTGTTGTTTTTTTTTGTTTCTGTAAATCACAGTCTGGCATCCTGGAATAAAAAACCCATGATGTGCATTATTTCAAAGAATTAGAAATAATTGTAAGGCTATAATGAATCTCTATAATAAAGTGATCGTATCTGGTTTATTTGATATTTTAAAAATGAATCCAATGCATGTTTAATTTGTCTTTTTTTGATGATCCCTGCCTCTCCTTCTGTCAGCAGACTTATAAGGAGGGATCTTGGCTCCTGCAGCCATTTCCCCTGCAGGGCTGAGCTCTTTGGCTGGCTTGCCACTTCCTTAGCAGAGGGACTGCTGGCAGGGGCAACATCTGAGCAGGTACCACAAACAAACAAGACGCAGAAGTCATTAAATCGGGTTCTTTGAATAATAAGAAAAATAGGTTTAGTTTGCTGAAAGAGAGATAGATTGACTTGCGTGCTTGGTCTCCATCTGAGTTTTTTTGGATTATGTAAATCAGAAAGATGACTGTGAGTGTCAGCAAACACACTGATTATTAATGTGTTTGTGTTTGTCTCCCTGCACAGGTCATGAAGCCTCAGGAGGCAGAGCTTGTTACTGAAATCTCCAAGGTATGCTGAAGCTTCCCTCATCAGCCAGCCTGGATTTGTGAGACATATTAGTTGAACTTTGATGACCAAAATAGCGTTTAGACGATACTATGTCATCCCCTCCAGTTACAATGCATGGTCTCGGAGCTGAAGTCGGGGTTCACCAGCGCTCTGCTGGAGCTCAGTCAGATCCAACATGGAGACACATACCTGAGAGAGGAGCTGGAGGAGAACAGGAGGAGCTGTCAGAAAAAAGCTTTAAGGCTGGAGGCTCTAGTCGACTCACTGAGGGTAAGACTTAAAAATTAACCCGAAGGGTTTCTCATATTTCTCCACAAGTGATGATGCTCAGCTACTTCTAGATCGAAAGCTCAGCGTCAGTGCTTTGTCAACTACAGGAGGAACTGAGTGTGATGAGGTGTCAGATTGTGCAGCTGTACAGCAACAGACACCGACCTCAGCAGGATGGAAAAAGCTCCACATCCAAGCAAAGAGAAAGGTACACATGTACCACGACCCTGGAAGAATGAATGCATTGCTATTGCTGACATACCTCGGTGTAAAATTCAGCATGGTATCATTAAAGCACAGCTCAGATGATTTTTAGCCTCGAACAGTCCATCATTAACCTCATCCTTACATCTCATTTGCCTCATGAGTCGTTTGGACCTTTATTAGTCAATGCAAGCTCATTTCTCCAACATTTTATCCATAGGAGTAACACCTTTTTCCAGTTTTGCAAACCTTGAGTTATAAAGCAATTAGATTCATGATGTGAATGCACAGTAGAGACTGTAAACATTTTTAGGTAAGATTATAAGTAGTAAATGCTGTCATTTGTTCACTGCTGTGCAGCAGCGAGCCAGCTGAGCCGCAGCGTGTACAGCGTCAGTGTGATTGTTCATCCGCTCCACCTGCCTGTCTGTCCAGAGGAAAACTGCTCCTCCACTGTTTCCTGCAGGGCCTCAAAGCTGGTCTCAGTGAAGGCACAGGTGAGCTCACACGTCACTTGTATAGATGCAGAGTATTTTCTTCTTCTTCTGATTTTGCAGATTCATCATCCTTTTTTTTTTTTTTTGGGTTTTACAGATGCACGCCATCAGGTCACGATGCAGCTCCTGCACTCTGAGTGGGAATATGTATCAACCTTAAACCAGCTGTACGACAAATACAAGACCCCACCGGCTCACCACATGACTGCAGAACCATAGTAAGTGCTGGAGAGGATTTGTGACCCTTTTTTCCACTGCGAGTTACAGAAGTTTCCATTTGTGGTAAAAGATACTGTGTATGCGTGTGTGTTTTCTGTGATCCAGTCAGACCTATTTGAAGTTTGTGGAGCAGCTGTTACAGCGCCATCTGCTCTTCAGAAATACACTGCAGGAGCGGTTATCAGCTGAACACTGGAAATCTCTGATTGGAGACATCCTGGTGCAGCTTATTGGCCACAACGATGTAAGCCTATGTTCTGTTGTGACGTTTTTATGATTTCAATCTATCTTTCATTTCCATTGATACGCAGGTTTTCATATTCTTCCTCATCTGTGTTGTCCAGACAGCTTTTTCAGACATGTACCTCGGATACACAATGACTCTGGCGTCATTCCTCTCACTTGAGTTCAAGAGACTCAATCATCCTGACAAGAGTCAAATTTTGCAGGTATTTCAAGAGATTTACCATTAACATTGTTCAGCTAAAATCCACCAAGGACACCAGAAAGATGCTTTTTGTCTTGTTTTACAGGGCAGCCAGATGGAGAGAGAGGAAATGAAACTGCTCTCCTTGCTTTTGGCACCTGTCGCGCGCATACACAGCTACCTGAGTCACATTCAGGTGAGTCAGCAGCCAGAGCAAATCCAGTTTTGAAGATCTACAGATACTTTCAGTGTATTAATTTAAGTTAATTTAGTAAGGATTTGACTTGACAGCTTACTCTTCCTTCTTCAGAACCTCTTGCAGTGGACTGGTAAAGAGCATCCTGACTGCAGCCTGTTGTTGGGAACTGAGCGAGCTCTGAGGAGCATTTTATCCCGCTGTCATGTAATTCTCGAGGAAGACGTCCGGTGGGAAGAAGGAGAAGTAGCTGGACAAAGGTAAGAGCATTATCAAAGATGTCAGATTATTTGTTTCAGATTTGGGTTGCTGATGTGGAAGTCTCACAGAGGACCTATTTGCTAGTTTTCATCTCCATGTTTTTATTTTTGGACTTTATTAGACTAGTTTTGCGTGAATCATAGTTCAAAATATTATTGGCTGCCCGCTGTAAACAGGTGGTTGTGGTTATGTGCCCGAGATGATCGTAGTAAGGATATCCACTGTCATTCACATGATAAAGCTCCATGAGTAGAAAAACTGTCTAGAAACAAGCATTTGGTGCAGTGTTTTGAGCTTTTCACTCACAGGGATTCCACATATGCTGACCTCATTATCTGAAACTTTTTCCATCATAACACAGTACATTATATGTGTGAGAAAATACAGAAGAGCACAATAGCTCCACCTGCATTTGTCTGCATTTAGAGTTTTGCAAGTAAACTTGTTCTTTGCATAAAAAGCACCTCTGATGCTGGGGCTGGCGTTTCTGCTGCAAACTGTTGCACAAGGAGCCAGCACACCAGAGAGTCTCAGCAGGCCAGGGAAGGGTCAAACGCTGCTGCTCAGAGGTCAGTGACACCCGCATCGGACGTCAGACAATACAGCATGCACGAGAACAGCTGTGGCACAAAGTGTTGCTCAAAATCAAGCAACAGCCTATTTCAGTGGCATTTATCTGCAAAAATGTTTTGCATGTTTTTATTTTAAACTGTACAGGTTCACATTGCTGTGAAAAGGCATTCGAACCTTTCCTGATTTCATTTTTTTGTTTGTTTTTTAGATATTTGTCACACTTACATGTTTCAGATGATCAAACAATCACATTTTAACACTAGACAAAGATAACCCAAATAACCACAAAAATTAGTTTTTAAATGATGTTTTCATTTATTAAAACAACCCCCCCCCCCCAAAAAAAACAAAAACAAACAAACAAACAAACAAACAAACAAACAAACCAAAAAAAAACCCCAAACAAACAAACAAACAAACAAACCAAAAAAAACCCACCCCATCTTGATCATCCCTTAGACTTCTGGGAAAATGTCCTATGGACTGATGAAGCAAAAGTTTAACTTTTTGGAACATCTGAGTCCTGTTACATATGGTGTAAAACTAACACAGCATTTCATAATAAGAACATCATCCAGCCAGTCAAATGTGATGGTGGTAGTGTGACAGTCTATAGCTGCTTTGCTGTTTTAGGACCTGGAAGACTTAATATCAGCTGATGGAACCATGAAATCTGCAGCAGGTCAACTGTGAATGGCTAAAAAAACAAACCCAGCAACAACAAAAACAGCATGAAATGTTTGTAGTGCCCTAGTCAAAGTTCAGACGTCAACCCAGTGGACATGCTGTGGCTTGATGTAAACAAGCTAT